CTGAGCACGGCACAGCCCCGCACGGAGCGGCCCCAGGGACAGCCGCTCCAGGCAGCACCACAGCTTCATTATTGCAGCTCCTCAAACCCTCAAAAACCTCCTATTTCAGCGTTTTCACAATAGCCCAGGCAAGAACAGACCCCGAGAGGTGTCTGAGGGAGGAATGAGAATCTCACATGAAGTTATGCCAGACTGCGTGTGCAGGGCATCCCTAAACCAGACTGTCGCCTTCATCAGATTTTACTTCTCCATTCCTGCATGAGCAAACACACCCTGCTGGGATAGACAGGCATTTTTTATCCACTCCAAGAGCAAACGCCCAAGATAGACTTGTGCCCTGCACTGAGGGATGGGAATTTGTGATGTTTAATCCAGCACTGCTGTGTCCCTCTCATGCCATAGGCCTTGGCTGCAGGGCTCTCTGGACAGCCCTGAGGAAGACAGCAATGCCTGCAGTGTGGAGCATTCAGCTCCTACAGCTCAGCTTCCTTCTCCCACTGAATGAAGTTGCTGTTCTCAGCATGGATGAGCCTTTTCAGGGTTTTATTTTTGTAAGTTTGCTGAGAGAATTAGCACCTACAGGAGCCAGGGCACAATAGCAGTGCTATGTAAGCCAGACAGGCTCCCTGAGCACTTTTCTGCCAGTCCTGCTTTTAATAACTGGTCTCAGCTTTTCCACACAGCCCCTCACACCAGGACTACACCAGCAACAGCAAGCTGGGGGCCACCCAAAACTCAGGAGCAGCGTTGTGTCATGGACAGACTCGTCCACTGGACACAGAGATGCTGAATTCCCCGTTTTCTGGAACATTTCCCTAATTTGCACTTCAAACCTCAGAGAAATCACGATGCCATCTCATCCTTCACTGGGTTTTACCCCCAAGAGCAGCTCCACGAGCTGGGTGAGCTGGCACTTTGCACCAGGAGACCTCTACAGAGCCCGGTGTCCTTGCTGTGTGTGCAGCGACGAGCAATTTCCAGCCCCTGGCTCTACATCCAGGGCAAACTCTGGCTCCCTGTGCACCACACTGACTGCAAAAAGTGCACGACTAAAGGACATCTGGCCCCTCCAAAGGGAAATGGGAGCTGTGTTTGAAGCCTCATTTGCTCTTTTAGTTAATCCCCACCAAGCACTCCCAAGCAGAGCCCACTGTACTCAGCAGCTAGAAAGTGTAAGGGAGTTTCTTTAATGAATTCTGTGTTTACTGACATCTTCAGTAAGAAAAAAGATTTCAAGGTCTTCTATTCTGACCTATTCTTTCTTACTGTCTACTAAACAGGCTTTGCTTAATGGAATTTGAAAAACTTATCCTTTAAAATGTGCTTAATCGGAGAAAAAGCTGCACTAACACATATATTTAAACAGAGAGACATTTTTTTTTCATTTTTAATACCTGAAGTGATTTCATAAAGTAGTTTAAAGAGCTACATGAGAATGCCATATATCATCTTCATTAACTTGAAGAAAAACTAGATAAGCTTACCTACTGGGTGGAGCCTGCCCCTTGAGTTGTCCAATTCCTGTTTTCCCCACAGGTGCTCCATTTGCATTGCTGCTGACTGGTGTTCTCTACAGTCCCAGCAGAACATGTGTTGTGGAAAACAGACTTCCATGAGAGAGGGAAAGCTTGCCTGTGAGCAGAAGAATTGTTCAAGCTAAATGGGCAGCAGCCAGATGCGCTCTACGTTGGGTTTGTTCCAGGGAAACCCATAAACAAACCTATTTGTGCCAGCCCTGAGTTTGGCTCTTAAGGTTCTTTAAGAAGCAATTGTTTGTCCCTTCCAGCAGCAGCCTGGAACAAGCACAGTCTGAGCGGAGCAGCACTCGAAGGAAGAGTGGAAGGATGTCTGCATTTTTGTTGTGACAGGTTTTGCATTCCACACCTATTGCATTTACAAGATGCCATCTATACACAAGATAGAAAAAGTACTTGCATTTAGGCTTGTTAATTCAGAAATATTTGTGGACCTCTATTCCTGCATCCTGTAGTATTATTTTTGTAGGGATTATTTTTATAAACTTTTGATAGACTGACTAAACTAATAATCTCTCAACACAATATTTAAAAAAACCCAGAAAAACAGTATTAAAAGTTGCTATAGATTGACTTATTTACAATTGCTATGACCTAATTCTATTTTTTAATTCTAAGAAATTAAGCCAGTGAATTTTATGACACTGTGGTATAATCTTTAAAGTATTCTGGGAACTTGTGTCTTAACACAGGTTTTCACCTTGTTTTCTTTGGTTAGGGATTTTTAAAATTATTTTTCATTTTAAACAAGTTGATTTGTTGCTGGGGTTTTTTTTTTGTTGTTGTTGTTGGGGGCAGTTTTGTTTTATTTTGTTTTTTAGGGAAAATAGTTAGGTGAATCTATAAAGTAATAAAACACATTGGAGTTATTTTAAGCTGTTTATCCTGTCTTCATACAGCTTGTTACAACAGATCAATTGACTCCAGCTCATCATACAGGAGATATTTTTTAAATAATTTTTAGAATTAATATCAGGATAATTCTGGTATTTTAATTGCCAGAATTATGTGTACCAAATAGGTGAAGAATTGTATCTTTATGGGTATAGATGCAGACCAGTAATATACTACCCGAAACAGGATGCTGTGGCAAGCAGATGTTCCAAGGACAAAGTGTATCTGATGTGCAATAACTTGTTAAACAACCATTAAATTTGTCAAAACTATTATTTAAATAGCAAAGCAAAGGTAACAAAAAATATTACCCATTAACTTCATACAGCTAAAAGTTGACTGGTTTATTTCTCTTGTCAAGAGTAATAACCTGAAAAATTTTACATTGATTTACAAACATCAAAAAGATCCTTATGTCTGTCTTATAGGTAACATTGAACCATCCAGTTAGCGCTAATTATTATTGCAAAAATTAAATCTTGTTTTATAGGGTTAAACATTTTTTGATCCATTTGTTGCCAAAACATAGCATCAATCTACAACCACACAGAAAGTAGAAACTGACATTCCTACAGAGCCACTACCATCACTATGAAGATACAATTCCAAGTGTTTACAACATTTTGCAAGTTATCATTTCTCCCAGCATGTAAGGCAGCAAAAGTTCCCTTTTTACTGCACACACAGGAATTACAGTAGAAGGGGAAAATATTATCCATAATGTTAGATCGAGGGTAACAGAAGTGCTTCTGAGTCATTTGCCATTTAAGTAGGAAATGAACAGGCCTGTGGAACAATGAGGATTCTTCTCTGAGAAAGGGCAGATTTTCTCCTCAGCCCTAGACTGTGCACACTCCTCTCCTTCCAGCAACACAAATGGCCTGTGAGGCAAGAGCAGAGCTGAGATCCTTGTACACACATGGGGAAACCATCCAGAAATACCTTGCTGGGCTCTCTCTACGACAGTCTCTCTCACCACAGACACAACAAAGCCTTTCTCACCACCCTTCCTCTTTTTTTGGCATTCCTCAGCCGTTTCCCCCCCACCACCACAGTGCTTCACGCCTTGTGCCAGGTACCCCTGTCGTGTCTCCCCACGAACGCAGCAGGGACTCTGCTCAGGATGGAGCCTTCAGGATGGAGCGCTCAGGATGGAGCCTTCAGGATGGAGCCTTCAGGATGGAGCACTCAGGATGGAGCACTCAGGATGGAGCACTCAGGATGGAGCACTCAGGATGGAGCACATGTGCCCAGAGAGCACAAGAAGCTGCGCTCCTTCCCCTCCTCTCTGCCCACTCTCCCCGTGCCCCACTCCCGCCGCCCCAGACCATTCATTCCTCTGCCGCAGGAATGGCAGCTCCGCTCCCAGAACGGGCACTGTCCCCCTGCCACAGCATCCCCCGAGCCTCAGGGCAGCCAGCCGGGACTCAGCTCTCCCTCCTCTCCTCCCCCAACCAGTTCCCTGCTCTGTCCAGACCAGGGCAATTCCTCCGCCACAGCAGAGGCAGCAAGAGGGACCCAGCAGCGCACTGCCCCAGCTGGGGACAAAGTCACTGTACCTCCCCGCCACACCACGGCCAAGACGTGTCCTTGCCGCACACTCCCCAGAACAGGGCTGCCATAGCACAGCAGCTCAGCAAGGCTGAGCCAGGAGTACCCATCTGCTCCCAGCAGGGCAGGGAAGGGATCCAGAGCCCTGCTCCTGATGGGAGTTTCCTCTGTCACGCTGTGGACGTGGTATTACTCACACGCAGCAATTAAATACCACACAGCAATGCCATGAAACCCAGAAGGTCTGACTACACACCTTGGAAAGGGAGCATTTGTCCTGGCTGCCCTGTGAAATGGCAGTACCTTTCCTAAGATGGCACAGAGAGGGAGTTCGGGGCCCGCTGCACTCCCGGCGTGGCCAGTGACCAAAAGGCAGAAGTCACAAGTCCATTTCCAAATGGGTGGGACTGTGGCAATCTCCCTTCAAGGCGGAAGGTCCCCAAGGTACATTACTCTGAGAGAACGGATTGTGTGGCCAGAGGACCTGGACACAGAGCCTGGCAATCTTGAAGAACAATTTGCCACAGACAGCCTTTGCGGCCACAGGCTGGCTGTGTTACTATACCTCTCCTTCTCTGCAGCCAGCCAGGGAAAGCAGCTCTTCTCTGCCCGGCAGGGCCATGGCAAGGTGCCCAAAAAAGGTAGGGAATATAACAATTGAGGCTCAGACAAGAACTTTACCCAGCTTAAAATGGTGGTGTACCAAGAGCACAATCTATGCAAAGCCTGCATTTAACATGGGGCTTGTGTTCACCTGCAGGGGCTCAGAGGACAGAATTTTATACAACTTGGAAATGCCTTTTGCTGCCCCAGGTCTGTGCACAGGGACAGCACTGGGATTTAGCAAAGAATCAGATCTGTTCTAACAGTTGCAGACAGCCCAAAATGGAAATGTCCAGCGGGTCAGGGCCTGTTCTCCACTGATGTGGTGCCCCCAGTTTATTCTGGTATCACTCCATGAAAGCCAATAGATCATTAGCACGGACAAAGTGTGAGCCAGACCCTGGATACTCAAGCTAATATTCAACCCTTTGCTTCATGCCACACACAGTTCCGAGAAAAATTGCACCTGGTACAGCTCTTGGCCTCACTGGTTTGAATTAAAACTGCGTCAACCTCAGCTCTGAATTTCTTGCATAGCAAAAGTTAAGAGACATTAATCCTGTTCTCACTTTCAGCGAGACCAAACATGAACCCAGTTTTGTTGAGGTAACATGCATTAATGGTAGCCCAGGGTTCATCCCAAACCACAGTACTTAGCCTGTCTGTCCTCATTAGCTTTTAGAGGTACTGAAGAAGCAATGGGGCAGAGCTCTACAAACTTCTGCTTGGCGCCATTCAGTTACAGAAATTATGGGCAGTCTCCAATTCGGAGACCCGTGAAGTATCCTTTGGTACCCAAAAGGTATTATCTGGAAAGGAATCAAAATTCTGTTCACCAAAATATTTGTATTAGCTGAAATAGCCAAACTCTGCCAAGAACGGAGCTGGCCAGCTTCCCTGGAGTGTCTGTACCAGTGTGTAAAACACAGAAAGCAGCCACAGCTACCACAGCCCCTCTGTGCGTGCCCAGGGTTGCTTTAGCTTGTAAGGACAGCGCCAACTATTTGTAAGGCCTCAGAAATCTGGAAACTTTGGAGCGCAGCAGCCGAATGAAGGATCTTGGGAACATCTCTCTTGACTCCTGGGCTGTGTACTTGAAGTAGTTCTGCGGATGCGCCAACACGTCGAACAAGGCTTTTATCAGCTTCTTGTCCTGGGAAAAGAGAAGCAGATTTTATAGTAATTCCACAGAGGGGTTAGGGTCAGTATTACCAGAGTTTAATGCCTGTCAAATGTTGGGGGCCTAGAAACAAATGTCAGCGAGGCTGACACTCCAGCTCCCGGGAAGTCACTGGCGTTCCACATTAGCAGCACCGGAATTTCTTCCCTCCTCACACAGCCAAGAATAGCAAACGAGCAAACAAACCACAAAGCAAACACACACTTGAGCTGATAGCCAGCAAAATGAAGGCATGCACTCAACTTGTCTGTGGAAGTCCCCTGAGCAAGATCAGAGAAATCCACAAGGAGATTTCTTTGGCCCAGGGAGGAAAAGTCTTTGCTGATCTACAAGCTACAAGCAGCAGCACCAATGCTGCCCCAAGAACTTAAATGCCACATCCTCAGTTTGCTTCACTGATTCCTTCCACCACAGCCCACGTGAGGCTCAAGGGACTATTGTTACCACATATTTCCCTAGTAGGTCTGATCCACCTTCAATCCCCCYGGGCAAAGGGTCCCGTATCCACTGCTCTACACAATCAGGATCTGCTGATCCACCCCATTTCCCTGAAGCAACACATCTAGTGGACCAAGGAAGCAAACTCAGTTGGCACCAAAAAAATGTCATTTCCAATCAAAACCAACATGTTCAGTGGAAAAGATGTACCTTAAGTATTTCTTGATGGTTTTCAGAGGCATAAAGTCGACCGTCCCGAACAATGTCTTCTATCAGTTCCTGGTAGTCCTCTGTGGGGAATGTACAAGAGAGTAACTGGCAGGTCACTTACATCCTCAATACCTCCCTGGCTTACAYATGGAAGCCCTGCCCTCAGAAGAACCTGTGGTACTTGGCCCTCACATTAGCAGTCAGCAAATATTCCAAACACTTCAGTGCTCACTGTGAGAACAGGGTACTCTGCTGAGCTGCTCAGCATCAATCTGTCAAAAGCAAAAGAAATCACAAAGCACCTAAGACTGGAGTGCCTAGTGTAATCAAATAACCTGCTTCAAACCAACTGAACTSCAGGAACCCATCTGTACACACCCACAACCTGCTATTGACTTCTGTCTACAGGAAGAAGGAAAAAAACATTATGTGAGAGGATGCTTTCTTAAATGTAACCTCCCCCTCAGTCAACCCTAACCTGAAATTCTTCAAAAGGAGAGGTCTCCCCTGAAAAACTATTTATCCACTACTGCTGAAACTCTACAGACTACAGCAAGGATGACTCCTTCACAACTAGTCCAGTGTGAATAGAACAAACAATATCACTTCACTTATGCTGAAGTGCAAATCCTCAGCCCCAGTGTCAGACCTCGTGATTCTGACAAGGACGAGGTGAAAATCTTTCTTTTCAATATAGATATTTTGCTGTCTGCTACTAGGTCACAAATGGTAGCAGCAACACCATAAATCACAGGTACCTGGGCTCTGCCTAATTCCTATCTGAGGCCACCCGAGGGAAATGAAAAGGCACACAAGTGCATAAAACTTAAGATTCTAGCTCTGTGATCTGCAATTTGCAGGCCAGAGCTCAGAACCACAGCTCTTCATTTAGGTCTGTGCAAGACTGGAAATAGGGTGGCACTTATAAGACTGAAGTGAATGAGGAATTCCTTAAATTAGGTTTAAAAGAAAACAGCCACTGGAAGCAGCTCCTAGTGACACTGCTGAGTGTGTTGGGCTGCCCTGCTGCTCAGGAAGGGGAGTTTTGTGTTGCTGCAGCTGCAACAGGCCACAGCAGCCCAGCTGCTGACACCCACTTACCATCATAGGTTACATAAGGCACTTGGAATCCTTTGGCACTGTTCCCTTCATTGGATTTGAACTGGATCCACAGCTTCTTAGACCTGGAAGTGAAAGCGATGGGGCGCTCGTAGGTCTGGCAAGTCTCGTATGTGGTCACCGAGTTGGAAGAGGCTTTGGAAGAAAATACACAGCAGGCAGTTGTGTGACAGTGCTTGGTACTAATGAGATGTTAGAAAATAGGTTAAACTACCATGACTAAAATACTTGCTGACGTTAAGAAAACTCCTCAAAACATGGCAGACCATCAGTGGATGGCAGGCCATAGACAAGAGACTTCTTTTCTAAATAGTCTACTGTTTGAAGGATGTGCCTATACTAGAAACTGAAGATGTTTATCCACACATCAGGCACCTCTAAGGATTAGCAAGCATTCCCTCTTTACTAACCCAGGCTATGTGCTCAGCATAATGCATGATTGGTTAGCTTAAACCATCTACCCCTTCTTAACAACATTTCTCTCAGAGTTCACTGACCCACCATTGCCTTGTTTCACCCAAACCTTTGCCATTTAAAGAAATTTCTGCTCTTAAGTGGAGGCCAGCCAGGCTACGTCTAGTTTATGCAAAGAGCAATGGCTGTGAGAACCCTGTGCTGTCCCCTGAAACGTGCCTCAGTGGACGTTTCAGACTCACAGCTTTTTCTCATCACCAGGTAGTCTCCACACTCGTCCTCTATGGGCAGAAATATTTCAGGCACCACGATGAGGATGCGGCGCTTTGGCGGCGGGTTGATGTTCCAGGTGCACTCGGTGTTTGCAGGGTAGTCCCCGGGGTAGTTGGGGGATTCGATGTATCCAGTGTAATCCCCCAGCTCTCCCCCACACTGCCTGTCTGGAAAAGGAACACAGTGTGTGAGTGTTGTGGATTAAGATTTTTTTTTTTTTTTTT